ATGAGATGATATACGATGGAGTGAATGTAAAACTAAAGTTCTCCCATGTAAACTATCATATAATTCACAATAAAACATTAAAAAAAATTTTTTGATTTACTAATCTTAAATCATAAAAGATAAAGATTTAGGTCATTTAACCTCTCTACCCTTTCTCCATCCTCTATTTTGATAGCTTAAATTATTTTTAGTTATTTAGTTGGATACTTTAAAATTTGAAATAATAATCTGCTCTCACAGTAATGTGTGTGTGTGGGTGTGTGTGTGAAATTATATATAACAAATAATTTGCTGTTTCAATGTTTTTTGCATGTATTTGCAGTGACATTAATTGCTGTCTTAGTTATCTATAGCTGCTATAAGAGAAATACCTAAAGTGGATGACCTGAGCTAACAAGAATTTCTCTGACAGTTTAGGAGGCTCAAAGTCCACATTCAGAGCGCCAGTTCTGGAGAAAGGCCCAGCGTTTTCATGACATCAGTCTTTCCCGGGATCTGGGAGCTTCGCAGTGCAGGGAACCCAGGTCTAAAGGCGTACTCCACTCCCCATCCTTCTTTCTTGGTGGTAGTAGGTCACTCTGAGCTCTGTTCGCCTGTTTCATCTCTTACATATCTCAAAAGAGTCTCACTCTACGAGCTCTGACTGGTGACCACGCTGGCCACCGATAGGGCAAGAGAGGGAAAAGAGCAATGAAGCTGTGAGCTAAGTCCAACCATGTTCAATAAACTCCTGTGAACCCAGGTGGAGACTTGGTTGGCCAACAGTTTGGCAAGACCTGGGGACTCTTGGGCCCAGAGTCAGTGACATAGCCACAGAGGACTAGAGTGGAGAAGTGTCCAGCTGATAAGAAGAGAGGGCATATCCACAAGAACACCCACACTCGCAGATAATACCCACTTCAGTGACTGGATGATCAGGGCTCAACCAGAAGAAGAAAGAAGAGGGAAAAAAAGAGTAATCTGATACAATTTGATGAACTTGACCAACACCTATGGATGTAGTAGCTCAAAAGAAGGAACAAATCTTTACAGCGAGGATCATTCCCACCCCTTTGATACACAGGGTAGACAGGGATGGGCAACTTGGACATGGGCTACCCAAAATGGGGGGGGGGGGGGGAGCTACAAAGGCAAGAAGTGTCTGGCTTACAAGCTTTGAAGAAGGAGCCTAGGTGCAGAGGAAGGTAGAATCTCCAGTGAGTAGTATCCAATCTGTCTGGGCGGGACTGATGAAAGGAGATGTGGATAGCACTCATGTGATATAATAATAATTATTATCAGGAGTGACTTTGAGGGTTGGAAATGTAAAGGTAGACATTTTGTAGCAAAAGGAGGGGAGTGGTTGACTTTGCAGTCTAGGAACGGAGGTCCAGGGGATCATCAAGGGGAGAAGAGTGGAGTGCTGGACCCTACCCAGAGAAGCAGTGATGCCAGAGATGATGACGTGGAATGATGGAGCGACTGGGAACTCTAGACCCAGAGAGGGAGAGGGGACTGTGTGCTGACGACCGGGGGGGGGCAGGCTTGCAGCGTGTACCCTTTGGTTGGTTGATGATGCATGGAGGGCATTGTAACCATGGCAATGAAATGATATACGATAGGATGAATGTAAAGCTAATATTTTCCCATGTAAACTATCACATAATTCACAATAAAACAGTTAAAACAAAACAAGAGTCTTCCTCAAGACACACCCTAATCCTATAGCTTGTATTTGGCCTCACTAGCATAATAGAAGGAGAGAGGATTTATAACACAGAGTAATTGCATCAGATCACATTGTGGGGGAGGTGATTACATTAAATTAGATCTCATAGGGGGCATTTCTATACCTTAACTGCCAAACCATGGAGAATACAGGCCCAGTGAGTTCATTGACTTATCACAATCACTTTCATCATATGCAGCTGTCACCATTATCTGTTTCCCAATGTTTCCATCCCCCCCAAACAGGAACTCAGTATCCCCTAAGCATTGACTTAGTTCTCCCTTCCTGCCATTCCTGGTGACTGCTAATACTTTTGGTCTCTATTAATTTGCCTACTCCAGATATTCCTTATAAATACCATTAAGTTTTGGAAGTAACTTTTGCCCACTGGTGATATGTCGTTGTTAAGTGCTGTCAAGTCAGTTATAACTCATAGCGACCCTGAATAGGGTTTCCAAGGAGCGGCTGGTGAGTTTGAACCGCTGACCTTGCAGCTCTAACTGACTTTGCAGTCCAGCGCATTAACCCACAGTGGCACACCAGGACTTCACTGGTGATATAAGAAAGAGATATTAAATATAATTTCACCCCTCACTTTTATTGATTAAAAAAAAAAATAGTGGGTATGTAACGTTGAACATTTATCAAAACCCATGGGACAATATAACACAAAGAGTACATACATCTGAGTGAAACCCAGGACTGTAGTTAATACTTCTGTCATTAACTGTAGCAAATCGACACTAAGACAGGGTGTTAATAATAGCAGGAACTGGGGAGAGGGTGTATGCGAACTCTTGGGTTTACTGGAAACTCAAACTGCTTTTAGAAAATACTCTGGTAATGAAAAATAAAACAAGGCTCTCTCTCTTCTTCAGAGGAAATGTACAGCATTAAAATTTGTGCCACATCCTATGTTAAGGGGTTGGGGAACCTTATAATTAAATAAGGTCAACAACATACTGAACAGTGAGTAAGAAAATGGACTCATTCTAGACTAAAATACTTGAACAAAACTATTTTTTACCATAGGGTAAGCACTGGACTACAAGACCCGTTTGAACTACAAGGTCGGTGGTTCGAACCCACCAGCTGCTCCTCAGAAATCCTATATAGGGTGGCTAAGAGTTGCAACCAACTCACCGACACTTAACAGCAACAGCAGCAACAGCTGTGTATATTAGGGTGGGGACTGTTGGTACATGCTCAGGCTGACCTCACGTATACAGAGCAGAATTGCTCCAGAAGTTTTCAAAGGTGTGACCTTTTTGGAATTAAATCACTAGGACTGTTTGTTTTCCAAGGCACCTGGATGGGTTCAAACTGCCACCCTTTTGGCTAATAGTTGAGCCTTTAACCATTTGCACCACCCAGGGAGGCATGGGGCAAGGATAGCTGCTTAAAACATCCATCTTCAAACTTCAGTGGCTTAATATGGGACAATTTTCTTTCTTTCTTCCCTACTAGTCCAGTATGGCTTTTCTCTATGTACATGGGGTTCAGGAACCCAGGTTTCTTCTTTATCTTGTGGCTCTGCCATGCCTTACTGTCTTGGAGACAGCTGCATTTGGCCAGTCAAGAAGAGATGCTGCTCAAGAAACTTGTGCTTCTAAGAATAGTGTGGTTGAGGAAGGGATAGGCATCGCTTCTCCCCACACTCCATTGGTGGGAAGATCATATGGGATGCCCACCTACCTGAGGTGCATTGGGAAACAGCATTGTCCACCAGGGTCAGTTCCAATGGGCATTAGGGGAGCTTGGCTTTTAGGTGGTATTTGGTGGCTTACTGTACCAGTTGTTTAAGGAGATTAGAATTGTTAATATTGAGTTTCTGTTAAGATGCTGATTATTTTAAGTATTGAGTTTTTATGTGTAGATTTAGATTTACAATAAAATAACATTTTCTGCCTCCTTTGAGACTACACACTTATTGACCTGGTTAGGTTTCAAAGACCAAGCCTATATGTGAACATTGGCATTATGCAACAATGGAGGCTGCCCACATCAGATCGCGAAGGCGGATGATTAGATCATTGTATACTGTTCTTAAGTGCCGTAGAGTTGGTTCTGACTCAAAGCGAACCCTGCAAAAGGTTTCTATGAAGTGGGTTTGACTGCCAACCTTGTGGTTAGCAATCCAGTGCTTAACATGCAGCGCCATAGCAGGACTCCACATAGCTGCCAAGTTACATCATTACACAAATTACTGCTAATCTAACGTTAACACGCAAAATAGTTGGTAGTAGCTTTTTCCTATTGTCTTAAATGTGAAAAGTCAGATAATGAGGTAGTTGATAAGTAGGTGAACTGTGCATTAACTTTAATGTACTTGTCCTTTACTTTTTGGTCACCTCTCCATGAAACTTAGAAATGATGTATTTACAGCAGTTTTACAAACCACTGAGTATAAAATAAGCTCTAAAGCTATGATGTGCCATTGATTGTAAACACTGATTGCATTTGATTTAACCACTTCCTTCGTCTTTTACTCTTCTGCCTTCCTTATAGTTTGTGATTGACACAATGGAAGAAGCTGGAATCTGCGGGTTAGGGGCGAAGGCAGATAAGTTGCACAACTCTCAAGCAAATGACATTCTTCAACATCAAGACTCCCACTGTGATGGCAGAAGTACCGAACACTCACTGGAAGAAGATGCAGGCAGCACCTTCCTAACAAACAACAGGAATTTAGTGAGCCCAGCATACTGCACACAAGAGTCCCGAGAGGAAACTCCTGGGCGAGAAGCTCGCACTGACCCCCCTGACGGGCAGCAAGATTCCGAGTGCAGCCGGAACAAGGAGAAAACACTAGGTACCAATCTCTACTCAGTGGTGGCTGCTTGCACATGTGCGTGATTTCCTTCTGCTTTCTGCAGCACAGATGACTGGCGAGCATGACCCGTGTGGTGGTTGAGGCTGCTGAGCTAGCCCACCTGCTGTCGTTGGGCGGGTCAGTCAGCCCATGTGTTTTGCTCAGGAGTAGGAAGCTTAGTTATTTCTCTGAATAATCAAGAACTGGCTTTCTAGAACAGATTTGGGGCCACTTTGACAGAAGTGGTCCTTGACTTGCCTTGTTTGCATCTGTAAAGTACTCTGACCAGAAAGCATGGGGAAACTCTTACTCAGTTGATTTAGAAATGAAGCACAGAATGATCCAGTAGCATTGTAGTTTACAAAGTGGGTTTAAGACCTGTTTTCATGGGTATGCTTTTTCTCTTTTGATATGTTAGAGATTTAGTTCTAAGAAGGTAGAATCTGAAATCCCCTTTTATTTTAATTTAGTCTTGCTGGTTGCCTCCCTACATTTTATACCTAAGATTTACAGTGACTTTTGCATGGTTGGTTTCTGTTCATATCTTATGAAATTTCTTACAGAGAAGAGTGAACATTTAAAAAAAACAAACAAGTGTTTACCTCCCTGATTAAGAAATAAAACACAAATTTTTAAACACCATTTCTCCCCTCCTGTCTCAGCCACTTGCTTCTCACTGCCAAATGCCTTTAAAATACTGTCCCTTTGGTAAATCAGCAGACTACAATCATAAGTTCTCTTAAACTGTTCATACTACAAGAAATGTATTACCAGTAATTCGGTGTGCATCTTAGGCAGAGGGTAGTAACTGAAACGCTTTTGTTTCTAGGTTGATAGCTGGTTAGGAGGAAACTGTTAAAAAAGATTCTCCGCCCTTTGTCAAAAGACCTAACTTGGATGTCAGTGGTAGTCGTAGACAAGGGGAATTTTTTTAAACCTTCAGCAAGTAACTACAAGTGACACAATTTGGAATATAGACTTTGGAGTTGACTCTTTAGCTATCTGTGTTGCATGTAAAATGAGAAGACTTACGTACAATGTGCAGATTAGAGTTGAGCTCTTTCTTCTCCTCACACTTCTTTCTGACCTTTTTAATCATCAGGAAAAGAAGTTTTATTACTGATGCAAGCCCTAAACACCCTTTCGACTCCAGAGGAGAAGCTGGCAGCTCTCTGTAAGAAATATGCCGATCTTGTGAGTATTAATCAAGGGAGGAAGGACCATAGGAAATAGAGCAAAGTGTGTGCTTGGGAAACTTTTCAGAATATAATTTAGATTCAACTTTATTTTAGTATTTTTGGTTTTGACCCAGCTTTAGACGTAAAATTATCTTATTCCAGAATTACAGGGAAGAATCTGACTTCTTGGGCTTTTAGTTGGTTCTGTAACTTTATTTTATGAGGTGGTCTACAGTGTCTTGGTGTGGCGCTGTGGGTTAATGCTCTGGACTGCAAAGCTGGTTTGAACCACTAGGTCAGCGGTTCAATCTTACCAGCCGCTCCTCGGAAACCCTATACAGGGTCGCTGTGGGTCAGTAGTGACACGACGGCACTTAACAACAACACGGAGTGTCTCAGTACATTAGATGCCAGTTTGTTGGGAGCTAGTGGTTCCTTTACTTAGTTTTTCCCAAAGGAATTCTAGAGGTAAAGGCTCGTTTAACCACTTTGATTGAAATTGTGAGTTCAGTGAAATAAAAATGGCATTTTTCCATGAATTTTTTGACACCCCCTCATAGTCAACTAAAGTCATGCTCTTCTTGTTGGTGTTAGGTGCTGTCGAGTTGGTTCTGACTCATAGTGACCCCGTCTAGGGGTGTCCAAGGAGCAGCTGGTGGGTTTGAACCACTGACCTTGTGGTTCGCAGTTTAGTGGTGATCTGACAGCACCACATCAGGAGTCCATACTAGTGGTGTGGTGATGGTGGTTATGTGCCATGGAGTCGGTTCTGACTTATGGTGACCCCGTATAGGGTTTCTGAGACTGTAAACCTTTACAGGAGCAGAAAGCCTCATCTTTCTTCTGTGGAACCACTGGTAATTTTGAACTGCTGACTGTAAGATTAACAGCCTGACTCATCACAACTACACTATCAGAGCTCCTTAAGGTCATACTGTTGCTGTTGTTAAGTGCCGTGGAATCGGTTCTGACCCATAGCGACCCTGTATAGGGTTTCCGAGGGGCGGCTGGTGAGCTTGAATCGCCAACCTTATGGTTCAAACCAACTTTGCAGTCCAGCTCATAAACCCACAGATCTCAGGAAATACTTAACATCTACTGTGTGCCACCAGCATCCCTGGTGGCACAGTGGGTTAAGCACTGGACTGCCAACTGCAAGGTTGGTGGTTCTGGCTCACCAGCTGTCTGCTCCCGTAACAGTTTACAGTCTGGGAAACCCTAAGGACAGTTTTGCTTTGCCCTATAGGGTCCCCGTGAAGGAGCTCTGGTAGCGTAGTGGTTACGAATCGGCCTGCAAACCTTAAGGTCAGCGGTTCGAAACTACCAGCTGCACCGCGGGAGAAAGATGAGGCTTTCTACTCCCGTAAAGATTTACACCCTCGGAAACCCTATACAGGGTCGCTATGGGTTGGAACCGACTCGATGGCACATAACAACATAACAACAATAGGGTCCCTGTGAGCCCAAATTGACGCCGTGACAGCGGATTTGGTTTGTTTTGGGGTATGTGACAGTAAGGTTTGTTTTGGGGTATGTGACAGTAAGGAGCTCGCGTGGCATAGTGGTTAAAGCGCTCAGCTGCTAAGTGAAAGGTTGGTGATGTGAACCCACCAGCCACTCTGGGAGAAAGATGTGGCAGCTTACTTCCGTAAAGATTTACAAACTCAGTGGGGCAGTTCTATTCTGACCTGTAAGGTCCCTGTGGATTGGAAGCCACTGGACAGGAATGGGTTAGATTTGATTTTTTGCTCTCTAATTTAAAGGTTAAAATGATGGCTTTTTATGAGGAACTTAGATGAATTATCATTGGCATTTTCACCTGTTGGTAAAGCAACATGAAATCGCTATTTCACCAACGATCAGCTCTGAAAAATGGATTGTGTTGATTTTTTTTACTGGGAAACTGTGGCAGTTACTTTCCCTCAATTGAGAGAATGTCCCTTGTGTACCCCACTTAGCTGACATTCAGCAGTCTTGGCACTTTCAATTATTCAGAGCATCAATGGAAATGATCTAGAATGGTCAGAAAGCCCAAAGAGGAGGTAGCTGATTTCAACAAAGGAACGTGTCCATTGTTCCATTTCCCATGGACGCCAGTGCCTCCTGGTACCATCCGCCTGGGGAGAGTCATGTGAGAAGGCATAGGACAAGAGGACCAGAATCCAAGTGGGAAAGGGTAGCTGCCTGATGCGACAAGGACACATAGCCAGGACTGAATTAGAAGAAAAGGCCAGTGGAGAGGCCAAGGGGCTAAAGACAGCTCCTCTCACACCTCCTCCACGCTCAAGTGTTTCTGGCAGGTGCAGATTCTCTGATGGTCTGATTGAGCAGGGCTGGGGCCACGAGGACACCTGAAAGGCTTCCTGTCTCATTGGACTTGAAGCAGTCAGTGATGGCACGACAGCCGCGAATGCGTTTCTGTTTTCTGTGGTTATGGGTGTTATTAAGCGCCAGAAATCAGATGTGCATTCATTTTAGGAAGTGACAGATGAAGCACTGTCCCAGTTAGTAACCTCTCTTTATTTTAGGGTTAGCCTTCTGGAGATTCGCAATTGTAGTTAGGTGCTGTTGAGTTATTTCCAACTGATAGTGAAGTCCTGCACAACAGAATGAAACATCCTGTGCTGTCCTCACAATTATTGTTAGGTTCGAGCCCAGTGCCCATCTCATTGGGGGGAGGGGGGCTTTCTCTTTTTCCCTGACCCTCCACTTTACCCAACATTTTGTTGGTTCTGTTCTCCACCATGTGTGGCATGTCTTCCATTTATTTTAGATGTCTCTTGATAACTAATAATTGTGATGAGGAAGGTGTGCCTATCCTACAAGATTTTAAGAATATTGCTGTGCTATAATCATTTAGACACACTGACTAAGGAGTAGAAAAGAGCACAGAAAAGTCATTTAACAATGAAACCAAACAAAAGCCACAGTTGTTGGGTGGCTTCTTGCCTCGCAGTGACCCTACAGGACCCAGCAGCACTGGCCCGTGGGCTTTTCCGTCTAGACTCTTTCTGGAAGCAGACTGCCTCATCTTTCTCTCACCGAGGGGCTGCTGGGGTTCAGCCACCTTTTTGGTCAGCATCTTGAGCACTTAAGCATTGCACCACCATGCTAAAGGTGGAGAGTTAGCCACACCTAGAAAGGGCAAGGCTCTGATTTCATGTTGCACATAGGGACTGCCACAGGGTCTCCCCAAAAAGACAGGCAATAACCCAGATCACAGTGGCCAAGAGGGTAGTGCACAGTCTCTCCGGAACATCTACACCGGGCCAGAGGGCAGTGGTAGCCACAAGGAAGCCTTCTAAACATTCCTTGGGCCTAGATATTCTACCTTTTAAAAGAATCAGCCCTGTTTCAAGAAATAAAAGCTTTGGGACATTTTTGAAAACAGCACACATTTGTCTTTCATTCAACAGAAATAATCCCTGATAACCACTTGTCTTATCACTTTGTTGCACTGTGGTAGTCTGCATGTAGTTGTGATGGAAGGCAGGCCACAGGTATTTGAAATCCTAGCAGGCTCACCCATAGTGGACAGGTTTTAGCAGAGCTTCTAGATGTAGACAGACTAGGAAGAAGGAGAGGAGGACTACTTCTGAATCATCCCTACTAAAGAGACAGAAAGAGAGCATTCAGATCATACTATGGATTGGAGTGGATGTTTACCTATCGCTCTTAGAAGTGGAGATTTGCTCGTCCCTCTGGAAAGTTTGGCACTGCCATATAAAAGTGAACATTTAGGAATTTTTTGCCTCAGCTCCCTCCACTTCTAGATTTGCACTCCAGAAAGATTCTCACACATGTGTACCAAGAGACATATAATACGAGCACGCTTAGGTCACCATGGGTAGCGAGAGAACCTGAAACAGCCCCAATACCCACTGACAAGAGAAGATAAATAAAGGGGATATGTGAGGGGTCTTCTTCAGTTCCTCATGTCACACAAGACTGTTTGTGTGGCACTGTAGGATAAGCACTGGACTGCTAACTGCTAGGTCAACGGTTCAAACCCACTCGGTGCTCCTTGGAAACCCAATACAGGGTTGCTGAGTCTGAACTGACTTAATAACCAGAAGTTACACTAAATATGACAAAGTTACATACTAAAACTAAACCAAAACAAACATTCGTAGCCCTGTCTACAGCGATGGAATGAAATCCTGTGGAGAGGAGGACACGAGAAATCAGGGCAGAGTTAAAGACTTGTTAACCGTTACAGGGTTCATGTTGGGCGGTAAGTAAGGTAGAGCAGGGATTGTGGTGAATCCAAATCTGTGTGTGTGAGATCCAAAAAAGAAAAGGAGAAAATGACCCTGGAAGCCCGTGGCCCAGAAGAGACTTTGGGAGATTGTCGTGTGTATTTAGGGAACTAATGTTGGTAAACGCTGGTGAGTCAGTTTCGACTCACAGTGACACCCTGTATAGAGTTTCCAAGAAGCAACTGGTGGGTTAGAACTGCTGACCTTGTGGTTCACAGTCCACTGTTTATCCTCTAGTGCCATACCAGATGACCACGTGTTAATAGGTACCTGTATTTTAAATAAGTAGGCAAAATTTATATTATATAATTTAGTAATTTCCCCCACAGAAAATTATTTGTGAACCTTTTTCTCACATTAGCAATAATTCTTTAAAGCCCTGAGTGTTAATGAATAAACATTTAGTGGGCAGAGGAGAGAAGCACTTGAAAGGTCATTGGTGCATATTGAAAATTGGCTTTCCAGAAGGTATCATGGGAGTGGGAGTCTCTCCCTGCTGGGCGTAAAGCTGTGTGCTAGGCACTGGGACTAGGGTACTGGGAAAGGCCAAGGCTTGGAGTTTGTGTCCTGGCTCGGGTGACCGACATCTGTGAGAGCCGGGTACCATGGAGTCAGTTCTGACCCATAGTGGCCCCATGCTCAACAGAATGAAACGTTGCCTAGTCCCATCCCTCCCCATCGGCACAGTCATCGCTGTACTTGAGCCCAGTGTTGCGGTCACTGTGTCAGTCCCTCTCATTGGGGACCTTCTTCTTTGTCACTGACCTTCTGCCAAGCATGATGTCCTTCCAAGAACTGGTCCCTCCTGATACTGTGTCCAAAGTCTGGGAGACAAAGGCTGGAGCCTTCTGCCTGTACGTCTCAGGTCATTTGCTTAGCCTGTCTTAAGTGTTTGCTGGGACCTATTTCTGCAAGTATCAACTCTTAATTCCCTTTGTCTCCTTTCCCTGTGGGGTGCTATTTTGCACTTTTTAGAATACAGCAAGAAGAACATTATTTTACTTTTTTGACTCAGAAACCATGTTTCAAAATCTCAAGCCTACCCACCTACTCCCCTCCCCAAAAAAGAAAAAGAAAGATAGAGGTGGATAGTGCCTTGAGTTGCCACCTGCCAATTTCCTCCAGTGTCTCCCAGGCCTTCCCCCCCAGATAGGGATTTAAATGGCTGACGTCCCCATGGGATCTTAACCTTCCCATAGGCACCTTTCCAGGCAACGTTGAGGGCCCTCCTTCTGTTGGGAACATGGGTGTGTGTCTGAGACACTTGAGTCTGATCCCTCAGCCTGTCCCTTTGCCCTTGCTGGCCACTGCCTGGTCTGACTGCAGTTGTCTGTGCACTGTGGTCGCTGAGCCTCCACACCCAACTTGCCCCCTGCTCTGCTCTTCTTCTGAGCAACCAGTATCTGACCAAAAGGGTGTATGTACCAAGGGCACTGCCAATTGTGAACCTTTGACCTATAACTATGAACCTCTCTCTATCTCTTTCCCTCTAGCAAATGGTGGCCATGCCCCATATTTCTTATCGTAACGAGAGACTGTTAACACCCCACCAGTAAATTGACAGATGAATCAAATCGACACCCAGCTTCTGGGACACTCATGTATCATTAATGGTTAGTTGGGTGCTTGGTACCTAGTAAGCTTAAGCATAGTGTAACGTCACCATCAGTGCAAATGGGACAGTTACATTTGAGCTGCCTGTACTGTATCAACACGCCACAGAGTGTACAATGAAAATGGGAGGTGTGTTTACTCCTGCTCTGGTAGATTTGACTTGGAGTGCTAAAGAGGTGGCATCTCAGAACTAGGGGCATCACAGGAACCTGGGGCCCACTTTCCCTCTGTGGCTGTCAAAAGACAAAGCAAAATTGCTTCACAATTACAGGAAAACTTCTGCTTTCCTGCAGGGATTTCCATAACAATGCTTCTAACTGCTGTAAGCTCAGCACCTGCAAGGGCGCTTGGTATGCTTTAATAGGCCACAAGATGTCGCTCTTGCTCCTGACGGAGTGACTCATCATCATTTCCTTCAGAAGAAAAGCTTTATGGAGAGGCCGGCCAGGCTGCCATCTTATCCGCTAGTCTTGCTGTAACCTTGGAGTAGACCCATTTCTGCAGTCCTTCCTCCACTCCTGAGATTTCTGCGTGCTGCAGTGTTGGCGTTCTGCGTTTAACAACAACGTCAGGAAAGTAGCCTTTGTGTTCTATGGTGTTGATTCCCGAAATGTTTTCCTAAAATGCCACTTCTTGTTTTTACGAAGAAACTAGAAAGATCACTTTGACAGTTGCTTCAGAATAGTTGCCTTTGTGTTGATTTCTTAAACGGTTTCCTATAATGTCATGTTTTTGTTTTTATGACAAAAATAGAGGTTTCCATCACAAGCTAGAAAAGAGGTGCAGAAAAGGTTGGCAGAGTAGGCTGGCCTGAAGCAATTTAAATAAAATGTGAGGGGCCTTCAAAAACTCTGGAAGAATTCTGTTCTCTCTTCCTTCCATTCTCTCACAAACGTTTTGAAGCCCCCTCACACACACCACAGGATTGGACACGTTGAAACGTCTGTCATCCAGCTGCAACTTTGAGGTTCTTCCCAGGCCCCCTAAATGTAAAGCACTTGTTCATTCCAGCTGGAGGAGAGCAGGAATGTTCAGAAGCAAATGAAAAGTCTGCAGAAAAAGCAAGCCCAGATAGTGAAAGAGAAGGTCCACTTGCAGAGCGAACACAGCAAGGCCATCTTGGCGAGAAGCAAACTCGAGTCTCTTTGCAGGGAACTTCAGCGCCACAATAAGACATTAAAGGTTAGTTGGTTTTGCCCCGTATGATGAACACAGTTATATCATTGACTTGTACTTGTGAAGAATGTTGAAATGACTAATGTTTTGTTACATACACATTTACCATAATTCAAAAGACAACAATCAAAAGGTGAGCTGGTTTCTTTTTCTGTCTCTCACAAGATTTTCTAATCCCCTCCTATCTATTTGCAATCAGTCCCTGTCTGTACCTGCTTTGGTGAGAATTACCTGTGATGGTCGCTGCTGGTTGATAAATCCCCTGGCCATCTGGGCTGCTTTCTGAGAGGATGGTTTTGTGGGGCCCCGGGGACAGAGACTGCCTGGCTGGCTTTCTGCCTGCACGTGCGGGTGTCATGAGCGAGGTTCATGTGCATCTGAGACCTCCCCTCTGTACAGAAGTGGTGGCTTTGCAGGCCCACAGACTGGATCACCGGGATCAGATGAGTGGGATGTTTATGTCCCCAGCACGCCCACTGAGAGAGCCCTGGCTTAGGCAGCTTCGCCTTTCTGCTGACCACTGATGCACTTGGTTACCATGCCTCCCTTAAATAAAGCCTGAAAGGCTGGGCGGAAATGAGAAACTCAGAGTGACTTTAAATGGCTGGATTGCCTAACTCCCTTAGAGGCTGCCTGTGCGTAAAGGAGAGGGAGGGAGCAGGTCCCAAAAGAGTGGGTGCTTTTCCTGAGGGGACGGACTCAGAGCAGAGCTGGCTGCCTTCTGTAGAGGGGCTTGGGGCCGTCTGGGGCCTGGTCCAGTACTCAGCCCCTCAACAACACACCTTTGGGCCCCAGAGTCTACTCTCACTTAGAAAATGCTCCCCACCTGCTCTGAGGGACAGCTTCTTTGCTTTCATGTAGATATGAATTAAGAGCAGGTGGTGGTTTTTTCCGCAGCAAATCAGCATTGTGATTGGACTGCTAATGCTCTAGGGCAAAGGTCTTTGGCAATTGGACTCTTTAAAACAAGGAATCCATTTGTCCCCTTCCCTCTAGGGAATGGAAGGTATGACCCAAAATATAAGCTGCAGTAGGGTGACATCGCTCCAGGCTGATCTAGGTCACCTGGCCTGGCCAGCGAGGAGGGACAGGTCTGTGTGACTTCAGTGTAGTGAAGTGTTGGGTGGTCAGCAAATACTTGTTTCCTGGCCGGCGCATTGCCTCTCCCTGCCTACCCCTGAGTCGTGGGAGAGGCTACTGATTTTTAAACAAGAATCTTCTGGTGGGAAACTCAAAGGAGGGCGTAGTAAGGTCAGAAGCAGCGTGGGGAAAGCAGTAATGCATGAGTGCAGGGCTGCAGTGTCTTGGTGAGTGTTGTATTGCTAGGTGTAGACTATTAACAAACATCGTTTTGAATCATAAGGAAGAAAACATGCAGCAAGCACGAGAGGAAGAAGAAAGACGGAAGGAAGCAACAGCACATTTCCAAATCACGTTAAATGAAATTCAAGCCCAGCTGGAGCAGCATGACGTACACAATGCCAAACTCCGCCAGGAGAACATTGAGCTGGGGGAGAAGCTCAAGAAGCTCATTGAGCAGTACGCACTGAGGGAAGAGGTAAGCTGTTTTGTGTATTTCAGCAACCACCATTATTACCAAAAACCTTGCCTCATCCGTGACGCATTGAACGCTCGCTCTGGTCCCAGGGTCCGTAGAACCTGAGTACTTGTAGAATGGTAGTGGACAAGGAGTGGCCCAGGCATTGCAGAAATAGAACGTGATAGCCCAGCTGCTGGTGGGTTTGGACAATGGGAGTTTCCGGTGGACATTGAAGTACTCCTGGTCTTCCATGGGATACTGGAAGGATCCATGGCTGCTGACCTTGGTCATTGGCCTCCAGCAAAGACTCATGTGGTTAGTTTACACGCTAGTCTGCAGCTTCAGAAGTGATGTCTAGATAGAAGCAAATCAGTGCTAGATGCCCTGCTTGGTGAACTTTCTCCCCTTCTGAGGGCCAATGGGCAGGGATAGAGACTTTGAGTTTTGTAAGTGGTGCAGCCCCTTCCTTTAAAACTGCTAAAATGTGTTTTTGTCTACACTCTGTCTGTAACCAAATCAAAATAGCTGAGTAAAAAAAAAAAAAGAGTGGTGCTTCTCTGTGGGTTATTTTATGTAGTTTTCAACTGAAACTTAAGAGAATATTTATAGTTTTATATAACCTTAGAAAACTGTTAAGAGTCCTGGTATGGCACTGTGGATTAATGCGCTGGAATACAAAGTCGGTTTGAACCACAGGGTCAGTGGTTTAAGCTCACCAGCCGCTCCTTGGAAACCCTATACAGGGTCAATATAGGTTGGAACCAACTCAGTTAGCACTTAACAACAGAAACTGTTCCTAATCTTTTTGTAAACCACTCTCTGCCTTTAGCTTTTAAACATTTTTTACTTTTAATTTGGAAAATTTGAAGTTGAAGTGAGAGTAGAATGCATCAGCTGAGTGAAGCAGTTACAAGCCTAGTCTATATTCCCCACACCTCCCCTGGAGTTGTTTGAAAGCTAATCCAAGAGGGTGTGTTATTCCGTTCTTAAATATTTGAGTGCATATCTCAAAGATAAAGTTTCTTTTGAAAGCACAATGCCATTTTCACACCTAAAAAATTACCAATAAATATTTAAATTAAATATCTAGTCGTTATTAAAATTTCTGTGTCTACTTTTTCTGTTTAAAACTTGCAGAATCTAAATAAGTCCATATTTTCACTGGTTGATATGTCTGAGGTCTCATACAGGTTTTCTTTCTTTAATTTTTTCATTCATGCAGTACATTTTCACTGAAGAAACATTGTTTTTTGTCCTGTATAGCGAAGTTTCGTTTAAATTATATAAAGCCCTCAACTTTCTTAATATTACGTTTGGTTTTGTTGTTTAATATGGCATTCTGTCTCATTAAAAATGCAGTGCATTTAGAAATATGTCCAAATCATATTACTTGTGAGTTTATTTTGAATATTCTAGAATATCCTTTTTTTTTTGGTAAGAATATAATAATAGTCAAATGCAGTTATAGACATATATCATCTTTTCTCACCTCGATACTTAGATTACTTTACCAACTGGCATTTCTTTCTGGTACGAAAGAGCTTCAGAAAATTTTTGGAAAAAAATGGAATTGAAGAATGATGGAATTTCCCAGAAACATTTTGCAGCCCCCTAGTATATCCTGGTGTGGCGCTGTGGGTTAATGTGCCAGACTGCAAAGCCGTTTGAACTGCAAGGTTGGCCATTCAAGCTCACCAGTCGCTCCTCGGAAACCCTATACAGGGTCGCTATGGGTTGGAACCGACTCGATGGCACTTCACAACAACAAGTATATTGAGCATTGAGGCTAGAGGAGTTCGTATTTCTCCATTTGAGAAGTGAATAATATTATGGTTACTTTATTGGACATAAATAACCACCTAACAATTTAGGAGTAATAATGGGGATAATAATGACCTCGTACCAACCATCTAGTATATGCTAGGCCCCAAGTACCTTCCATAGTTCA